CGATCCCGGGACTCCAGGATCATGACCTGAGCCGAAGGCAGTCGCTTAACCAACTGAGCCACCCAGGCGCCCTATAGTATCAGATTTTATAGTTCAGTGGGTATTTTGTTTCTTAACATTTTCCTCCCCACCCTTAGTAATAGAATTCTGGACACTATAATTTGACTGGAGACATAAACATAAGTACAAATTCTATAAAATAGGAAGAATATGTCATAGACAAACGCGCATGAGCTGCAGAAACGTTAATGCTGCTCCAAGATAATACTGCCTAAAATATTTCTATGGACTATGTGACAACTATGTAACCAAGCTTTACAACTGTAGTTCAGAAAGGAATTGTATGACCAAGAGTTGGTGTTGTGTTAGAAATATTGTTCCAGCACTTGAAAACGACACAAGACTTAATTCTACCACTGTGTTCATCTGAAGTCCAGTTTCCCTCTTGTAAAATCATAAGGTTGGACTAGATAACATAGGCCTATATTTTCTATGATTTTTTTCCATATTAATGCTTGCATATCACATATTTTTAATTCACAGTACAGTTAACCTTAGGTTTTTTCATTCACATAAGAGTGACAGATGGTTAAAGGAAGTATAGAGTCATGGCAGGATAGAAGCACAACTTTTTAATTGACCCAGAACATCTTACAGATACATTAGGTTGTAGCTAAACTATTTTTTTCCAGAATTGTTCTTAATTTTACTAGAATAAAATGGGTCCTTTGGTTATATTAAGGAATTTTATTTGTATATATGTGAATTATGGTTATAGTTTAATGGAAAGATTGCTGGACTTTAAAGAATACCTGGGTTTTCATAAAAATCCTAGAAGAGAGCACAGGCAGTAATTTTTCTGACATTGGCCATATCACCATTTTTCTAGATAGGTCTCAGGAGGCAAGGGAAATAAAAAAAAACTATTGGGACTACATCAAAATAAAAAGCTTCTGCACAGTAGAGGAAACAATCAACAAAACTAAAATGCAACCTACTGAATGCAAGAAGATATTTGCAAATGACATACCCAATAAAGGGTTAGTATCCGAAATATAAAGAACTGATACAACTCAACACCCCCAAAACAAATAATCCAATTAGAAAATGGGCAGAAGACATGAACAGACATTTCTTCAAAGAAGACATCCAGATGGCCAACAGACACATGAAAAGATGCTCAACGTCACTCATCATCAGGGAAATGCAAATCAAAACTACAAGGAGATACCATCTCACACTTGTCAGAATGGTTAAAATCAAAACACAAGAAATAAATGTTGGTGAGTTTATGGAGAAAAAGGAATCCTCATGCACTGTTGGTAGGAATGCAAATTGATGCAGCCACTGTGGAAAACAATAAGGAGGTTCCTCAGAAAGTTAAAAATAGAAGTACCCTGGGGCGCCTGGGTGGCTCAGTTGGTTAAGCGACTGCCTTCAGCTCAGGTCATGATCCTGGGGTCCTGGGATCGGGCCCCGCATCGGGCTCCCTGCTCAACAGGAAGCCTGCTTCTCCCTCTCCCACTCCCCCTGCTTGTGTTCCCTCTCTTGCTGTCTCTCTCTCTCTCTGTCAATTAAATAAATAAAATCTTTATAAAAAAATAAATAGAAGTACCCTACAATCTAGTAATTGCATTACTGGTTATTTACCCCCAAAGTACAAAAGTCCTAATTCAAAGAGATACATGCCCCTGTATTTTTATAGCAGTATTATTTACAATAGCCAAATTATGGGAGCAGGCCAGGTGCCCATGGAAGGATGAATGGTTAAAGAAGATGTGAGGGCGCCTGGGTGGCTCAGTTGGTTAAGCGACTGCCGCTCACGTCATGATCCTGGAGTCCTGGGATCGAGTCTCACATCAGGCTTCCTGTTCAGCAGGGAGTCTGCTTCTCCCTCTCACCCTCTTCCCTCTCGTGCTTTCTATCTCTCGTTCTCTCTCTCTCTCAAATAAATAAATAAATAATAAAATCTTAAAAAAAAAAAAAAAAGATGTGATACACACCCCCACACCCCCCCTGGAATATTATTCAGCCATAAAAAAGAAAAGAATGAAATCTTGCCATTTGCAACAACGTGGATGGAGCTAGAGAGTATAATGCTAAGTGAAATAAGTCAGAGAAAGACAAATACCATATGATCTCACTCATGTGGAATTTAAGAAACAAAAGAAATGAGCAAAGGAAAAAAGAGAAACCAAGAAACAGATTATTAACTCTAGAGAACAAACCAATAGTTACCAGAGGGGAGGGAGGTGGGAGAATGGGTGAAATTGGTGATGGGGATTAAGGAGTGCACTTGTGGTGAACACTGGGTGTTGTATGGAATTTTTGAATCCCTTTATTGTACATCTGAAACTAATGTAATACTGTATGTTAACTATTCTGGAATTAAAATTAAAACTTAACAAAAAAATGCCTGGGTTTTAATTGAGCTTTGCTGCTAGATAAAATTAAGTAAATCCTAAACAAGTTTTCTTTGTTCTGATTTTTCTATAATACAATAATGTGGAATGTAATAATACAGGATGTAACACCTCACCCAGAGTAGGTACTTGAGAAATAAAAGAAACTGATACATTCTGTCCTATTATACAGAATTTGCATTAGTACCTGTGAAAGTGCCACAGGGGAGAATTTAAAATATCATATGAGAAATATTAAAATATATTCCTTTAAGATTTTATTTATTTATCTGAGAGACTGAGCAAGCGAGAGAGAGAGAGTACAAGCTGGGGGAGGGGCGGAGGGAGAGGGAGAAGCAGACTCCCTGCTGAGGAGGGAGCCCGGTGTGGGACTCGATCCCAGGACCCTGGGATCATGACCTCAGCCGAAGACAGACGCTTAACCAACTGAGCCACCGAGGCGCCCCAGAGTATATTCTAAATTATGTGATAAATATTAGAGAGATCTATCATTTTCCAGAAGCATCATACTCAGATCATTCTTGCAAGTTAGTTCTATTTCATTTTCAAAGAATAGTTGGTTTTTATGTTTCTCAAAGTATAGACCATTGGGAAAGATGGAAAGCTCCCCAGTTCATTCTGTGAAGCTAGCACAGTCTTAAACCTGTTAAAGTGAGTTTAAATCTAGTAAAGAAAGTATAGACACACACACCATTCCTGTATGCACATGTAGGCACACATATATAGACAGACATGTGTTGAAAGCCCAAATTATTAGCTAATTGAATTCAAAAAATTATATATGTGACCAGGAAGAGTTCATCTCAGGAATGTAAAAGATGGTTCTATATTATGAAACCTGCCCATAACTCATAATATTAGCATATTAGAGGAAAATTGATGATTATGTCAGTAGATGATTCCAAAAAGAGGGGGAAAGCATTTGATATAAATCTGACAACTACACTCAGAAATGCAAATTAAAGCAAAAATGAGAGAACATGTAGTACTGGCAGTATGTGGAGAAATGGGCACTCATACTTCGGTGGTAGTATGAATTACTACTTAGGAAAAACTGATACAGATGTGGTGAAAAGAAGGGCCACATGCACCCCAATGTTCATAGCAGCAATGTCCACAACAGCCAAATTGTGGAAGGAGCCGAGATGACCTTCAACAGACGTTTGGATAAAGAAGATGTGGTCCATATATACAATGGAATATTACTCAGCCATCAGAAAGGATGAATACCCAACATTTGTATGAACATGGGTGGAACTGGAGGAGATTATGCTAAGTGAAATAAGTCAAAAAGAGAAAGAAAATTATCATATGGTTTCACTTATTTGTGGAACATAAGGAATAGCATGGAGGACATTAGGAGAATGAAGGGAAAAATGAACGGGGGGAGATCAAAGGGAGAGACGAACCATGAGAGACTATGGACTCCGGGAATCAAACTGAGGGTTTTAGAGCAGAGGGGAGGCGGGGGCGATGGGTGAGCCCGGTGATGAGTATTAAGGAGGGCATGTGTTGCATGGAGCATTGGATATTATATGCAAACAATGAATCATGGAACACAACATCAAAAATACTGTATGGTGACTAATATAAAAAAAGAATTATAAAAAAAGAGGGGTGCCTGGGTGGCTCAGTTGGTTGGGCAACCACCTTCAGCTGGGGTCATGATCCTGGAGTCCTGGGATCAAGTCCCACATCAGGCTCCCTGCTCAGTGGGGAGTCTGCTTCTCTCTCTGACCCTCCCCCCATGTGCTCTCTCTCTCTCAAATAAATAAATAAAATCTTTAAAACAAAAGGAAAAAAGCCCAAAAGCCCCATTTATTTAAAAAAAACAAACTGATAATAGCCATTGAAATAAGATGCACATGATCCTTTGAGTACTCTCACTTTTGGGAATCATTTCTACAAAATATGGTATAATAGTATATACTATAATACTAATATATACTATTATAGTATATTAGGATATATTCAAGGACTTATGTTTTGGAAACAACATGAATGACTGTTAATCACTTGCAGGGGTCGTTGAATAAATTTTACATCTGTATCATGGAATATGGTACACCCATTAACCAAGAAGGATATCCATGGTAGGAGTAGTATATTATTGGGGTGAGGAATAACAAATTATAGGTTATTATGCACAATGTCCATTTTTTGGTAAAAAGATGGAAAGTCTATATATGTTAATGTTTGAGCAGTGGGAAATGTGTGGAAGGGACTGGGTTAAGAGGTGGTTGGATTGGTGAAGGGGGAAGTCATTAAGTTTTTCTTGAATGCTCTACAGTGTTTGATTTATTATGAAGAGCGTTTGTTACCTTTGTAATACACTTAATGAAGGAAAAAATGCTAAATAAATAAATTCAATGATAGGAGTTCTCAAGAAGCTCGATTGGCTAGAGACATGAAAAATAGAAAAATGTTATATATACCTTCTGTTGTAGAGAATACTTGAAATAATCTCTGTTCATGACCATTAATCACAGATTACCTCTGAAAATAAAGGTATTTTATATTAACAGAAAATAAAGGTATTTTATATTAACATTTTAATGAATTTTTTTTCTTTTATAGCAACTCCGTTCCAATATCCAAGAAATGGAGAAACTTTGTTTGAAGGTCCGAAAGGATGACCTAGTACTTCTGAAAAGAATGATAGATCCTGTTAAAGAAGAAGCATCAGCAGCAATAGCAGAATTTCTTCAACTCCATCTGGAATCTGTAGAAGAGCTTAAGAAACAATTTAATGATGAAGAAACTTTATTACAGCCTTCTTTGACCAGATCCATGACTGTTGGTGGTAATGTACTAAGTCTCATTCTTGATCATAGTAATACAGTTAATTAAAGTTCACCATCTTGTATAGCTATCGCAGATACATAAGTTTCCAGGGATCACCTTCTGTTTCAGTATTTTGAATTCTTGGACCCTGAGAGTGCCTAGAATCGCACACCCTAGAAGTTTTGTAGGATGAAAATTTTGAGCTATGCTATGTAGAGTGGAACTTCCAAGCTTCAAGTACCTATTTGTCTATGTATTGAAAATAAAGGTTATAATATTCCCTAGGGAGAATGTCATCCTTGATTGCAGAGGACGCCCCCTTCATGTCCAGGTTGCAGGAGTAGCCTAATCAGGCATGCCTCTTTCTTTGGCATTCTGATTTTCTTTCATAGGGGATGTTAGATCCACCAGCTCACTTTTCTGAATTTGACAACATTAAAATATATATATATATATTTTCAAAGAAACAGTCCAGCAAAACTTGTCATTTTATTTTTTAAGGATATAATTGATAATTGTTAATTGCATTATAGTAAGTCCTTTATAAGGAACCCTGAAAAAAAATTACTGCTGTAATACATAATAGGACTTGAAAGCAATTGGTCTTTTTTTAATCCTACGGGTATTGGATGGCATATCCAATCCAAACTGATGAGATTTCCCTACTTGAGTTATTTACTGGAATGCTTACGTCTGAATATTTTTAACTACCAAAAGCCGAAGTTTTTAACTGTCCTGGTTTTATTTTATAATTGCTCACCTCATATTTCCTTTTTCGTTTCTCTTTTAATTTATGCTATCTTGTTATATTTTACATATGTTCCAAGATGCTTTAAATCTTAATGGTAAAGGTAGGGTATAAATAAATTATAAATTAGAATAGAATCTGAGAGATGTTATACCTGCCCAGTTTTCATCTTTTCATTTATGTGGGAGGCTCCCGTACTATCCCCTGTCTCCAAAACCAGATTATTTTTAACTTTATATTTTCAGTGTTAATGATCCAGTAATTTATAGGGAATTTGAAATTAAAATATTGGAGGAAACATTTAGGCCATCATCCATAGTTTCTTGGTAATCTTGCTTTTATTGTATCCTTAGTACCTAGCACATAGTACATAGTGCTTGGCACATAGTGGACCATACGTAAATGTTTCATAACTGTGAATGAATAAATACCTTTTTGAGACAATTTTGTAATTTCAGATGTACTATACTCACTACACCCTGTGGATAAGCAGTACCTAAAGTGTTGTTTTGGGGAGAAGGAGATGTTAGCACTCAGCCCCTTGGTTGAAGAGTATTTGGGAAGAATGCGTTTTGATAGTTTGTAGTTACTGTTTACGTTATTCTTACAATATTTATCACCACCATATTGATGAGGCTAAATACTGCTCATATCATTTAGTGTGAACTGATACTTTATGTGCATGTATAGAGAAACTGGGCTTCCATGTGATTAAGCAGCTGTCCTGCTTAATCACCTAGACATTATGACAATGTTTAATCACCTAGACAACCTTAATTACCTAGATATTGTGACAGTTGTGATGGTGGTAACAGCAGTGAAGATATGCTAGATTTTCTGGAGTTGCTGTTATCAGTCTCTCTTGCTATTTAGTTTTGAATTGCCCATCACCAGCAATTCCCTGGCAAACAAAAATTTTGAGTTCTGAGAGTTTCTCACAATATAATACTATGCTAATACTTGCTTTAGTTTGCATTTTATTATTGCATTATTTGAGTTTCTGTTAGTAGGACTGTTCGGGCTCAACAAGCTTGGGTTTATATATCATCAGAGGAACTGGGTGATTATTAGAAGAAGGCAGTTGAGCAGTTTGCTGGCAATTAAATTTCTCTGTAGGAAGCTGGCTGGTGTGTGTGTGTGTGTGTGTGTGTGTGTGTAATCAAAATTTGAGGAAGCACGTATAGAGAGAACATGAAAAAGATTGAGGCAGAGCCAGAGGATGAAGGAGAAGAAATGATGAAATTCATTTTCCTTCTCTTGATTCTCAAATTTCTCAATTCATGGAACATCAAATTAGCTAAAGACCTAATCACTTGCCACTGAGAGAAACTACAAGATTAAATCTCTGTAGTTAGTGCTGATTTGATTGAGACAGTCATTGTAAGTTACACCTAAAACAATGTATAGAATTTCACATTCCAAATGGTGTACTGGTGAAATGGTGCTTTGACTTTGAATCCATTGCCAACATTAAGCAATTAAAATGAACTGTCTCACCGAGTATCTGAGTATTTCACCAAATGTGAGAGTTTCTACTAGGTTGCCTTAAAAATCCAGAAATAATATTAAAAAATAATTGTGAGGATGGGAAAGAATAATGAAAACAAAGCAACTAATTCACATAAGACCTTAATTGCGAGCTAAGAATTGAGTTCGCCCTATGTGTGGTCTTCTAGTTATGGACTCTTTTCTGTCATTCTACATGTTTTTATCCTGTGCTTTCTGGTTTTTCTTTGTTTTTGCTTTAGATGCTCATTATAGTAGTGACAGCCTATACAGAAAAAATGTGTTTGATTTGCATAGAAGTTAAGTGCCTTAAAATATTTCTTCCTTTAAAAATTCAATCTGATTCTAAATAAATTGGTTGGAAATATCAGCAGAGATTCAGGAGCAATGTTGCCACATTTCCATGAGTGAGATCAAAATACAAAAATAGTTTTTCACTTACAGATAGAAACAAGTAGAATAGGACGTTTTATGTTCTCTGGAGAGTAAAAGAAGCTTATTAAGTTTAGGGGGAAGCTGTGATGATTTTGCTGCTTCTTTTGTCCAGATTCTGAGAGTTCCTAAAGCAAATCTTCTTTGCCAATCTTGCTTAATCTGAGAAACTCCCTTCTGTCTCACTTGTGTGTCTACTTTCATTTTTAGCATATTGCTTCCCACCAAGAGAAGTGATGAACCTACAAATTTGATTTGTATTTAGAAAGGTGTATCAAGTCATATAGAGTGAATCAGTGCTTCTCTCCATCTTTGTCTTTCTTACTCCCCATCCAGCACGTACAGTTCACCAGTGCAATAGGAACAGAATCTTATTACATTTTAAACAAATATTCACAAAAGAATCCAATCTTAAAACCGCTGGGAACTTCAGACCGCATATTGAATTTGATGAAATATCAGATTTTATCACAGGTATATATACATATAGTGAACAGTTTGTGAAGCACGTGGATAGTTTTGTATATTATTCAGAAGATATGTTTTCTGTTGGTTTTAATTTTCTTAAAAATCCTCCTTTGCAGCTAAGTTAAGCCATGACTTAGAAGTCATTTTATTTTGATAGATAGGTTGGTATAGATGATCAGTAGATTAATTTCACTATTTTTAAGCTGTCAGAACATGAAAAATTCAGGAAATGCCTTTGAATTAATTTAGACTTATAATGAAACTTTTCCTAACATATTGAAGTTCAGTGAAAATTTCTTATATGTTGTGTTTTAATTCTTGGTAGAATCGTTGCCTTTCATGAAACACAGAAAGACAAAGAACGAATGTTTGGATGTATGGAGAGAAGGGAAAAGTCTTATGTCTGTGTTATTAGCTTCAACTAAAAATATCTTCATGTTTGAGTTTGTAGTCAATAATAAGGTTTTAAAACTGGAGTTTGAAAACCAGTGGGAAGTGATGTATGTTTTCTTCATGCCCACTTGCAGTTGTTTGCATGTGGATGGAACTATCTTAGATGATTTCATCACATAAAACAATAGCAATTTGACTTCTGTGCACAGGGTGAGTTCTTCATCCTTCCTTCCCGCAGCTATAATCTGTCTCTGTTTTCCCTCATCATGTCTGTAGCAATTCCTAAAAGTTCAAAGTCAATGGATGTTCACTGAGGTAGTGATTTCTAATATAAGCTGGAATAAATGAATTATGAAAGTTGTAGAAATTAAAGGGCTTCTTTCTTAATTGTTAGTTATGCCTCAAATTGATTAGTGATGTTCAGAGTTGTAAGTTTACAGCAGGATTTTCCATGGAATAGAACAGATTTCTTTGTTCTAAGACTCCATTTGAACTAAGATGCATACGCAGTTTGGTTTCAAGTGAGACGTAAATGACTTAAACACTTCTTATTTTTTACTAGGGGAAATCTTTTATGTTTGCTTAAAATGCCAAACATTTCCCACCCCTTCTTCATTTTTTAGATAAAGAATTTATGTATGACAGTCTCCCCTCATTTTGTTATATACCCTGGCATACTTCATTTAAATCCTCTATAATAGGATAAAGACTATGGCTTATAAAAATCCTTAGAGTGGATGTTGTAATTATAAAGTTCTGCTTTACATTTGGTCTGTTAATGATAAAGATATCATTATTCAGTATCATCCTATTAAAGAAGTTGGAATAGGAGTTGGACTTCTCATTACAATAGAAATATTAAGTGGAAGAGTGGTCTTAGAATAATTCATTTATCTTGATTGATGTGAAAATGAAAATGTCTTTATGTGATAAGTTAGGACATAGGGTAAATAACTCTTGATACTTGCCATAATGTTGTCATGTAAAACTTACTCTGTCTGATGTTTTTGCTCTTCCTTTAAGATCAGAGGAAATGTATTCAGATAAGTTAAAATTCAAAATTAAAAGAACACTATCAATTCTGATAAGCCTACAAAATATTTTTTAGTCAACTGACTATGCCCTTCCTAAACAATTCAAAGAGATTATTTTCCTTGAGAGGTAAAAACATTCATAGACTTCAAAAGTAAAATAGCAATGCAGTTTTATAAAATAGGCTAGGATGAAAAAGAAATTGAGAAGATGAACTTACAGTTATGACTTTTAGGAGTAGATCGGGTGTCACACGTCATTATGTTATGTCCTTGCATATACCACTTCAATAGCTCTCCACTCTCTTCCAGATAGTCCAAAGTCTTTCACTGGTCTACAGTAAGGCCCCGCCTAACAATCTCTGTAAAGTTCTGTGTTTGTAACTCTATGTCTTTTACTTTATCCTTTGGCAAGACCAACCTGCTGATTTTACATTAAGCTTTATCTTTTCTTTGAGGGCCTTTTTTATGCTGGTCTCTCTATGTAGAATTTATATTCCCATTTTCTTTGTCTCATAAGATCACCTTTTTTAGGAAGCCGTCTCATAAACTGCACACCACACCAGGCTGGGTCAGTTGCCTTCCCAAGCTTGGAACGCCCACAAAATATTGTTTGTATCTATATCTGTTTATCTAAATACTGTTACACTCTCTTACTGTTTTAGGATTGTCTCTATCTTTGTCTGACTCTTCTAGAATGTAAGTTCTTTGAGAACATCTCCTTTGTATTACTCATAAAAATTTTTCATCTCTGGATACCCAATACATAATAGGTATCAGATAATATTAAAGTGGTAGGTATTTTGAGCTTGAAGTAAGGGGGACAAAAGGAATTACATTTCCACTGCCACTGTCCTAGAGCAGACCATCATTTTGCATTGGACATACTGCAGAGCCTCCCAACTGATTTTTCACTCTCTAATTTTTTTTACCTTTCAACTTCATCCTTCACACTACAGCTATGGTTCCCTTTCTAAATCTGAAATCTGATTATGGCACCCTCCAGCTTCCCAGTAGTCTCCAACTCCTTTTAATAGTTCCATATTGATCTTATGAGAAAAACAGAATTCTTTAGCATAGTTTACAATGCCATGAATAATGTCACCTTAGATTTCCAGTGACAAAACTTATATAAACTTTTGCTTTTCTCTTTCATAGTCTGTATTTCAGTTGAACTCTTTTCTGTTCCCAAACCTATGCATATATTATTCTCTCTGAACTGAATACCCTCTGCTTTTCCCTCCACCTTTGCCCCAGTTCACCTATGTAATTTCTGTTCATCCTCAGGCTTCTGCTTCAAAACCTCCAACTACTCTCCCCTCCCCAAGTCTTGGTTAAATACCTCTCTTCTGTTCTCACATAGTGTTCCATATTTACTCATATCATAGTTCTTACCTGGCTATACTGAACTTGCCTGTTAATATGTATTGTACATAATATGGTAAGTTCCATTAATAATAGCTGCAGTAGCAATGGCTATTTATTGTAGTAGTAACTATTAAGCCTCTTATACTCAATATTTAAGCCAGGCACAGTGCAAAATAAATACCTATCACCTTGTTCTATTTTTATTTTTTTAGTTTTTATTTATTCATTTAAATAATCTCTACACCCAATGTGGAGCTCGAACTCACGACCCCAAGATCAAGAGTCACATGCTCTTCCAACTGAGCCAGCCAGGTGCCCCTTTCACCTTATTTTAAAAATGAGGAGGGCGCCTGGGTGGCTCAGTTGGTTAAGCGACTGCCTTCGGCTCAGGTCATGATCCTGGAGTCCCGGGATCGAGTCCCGCATCGGGCTCCCTGCTCAGCAGGGAGTCTGCTTCTCCCTCTGACCCTCCCCCTTCTCATGTGCTCTCTCTCATTCTCTCTCTCTTTCAAATAAATAAATAAAATCTTAAAAAAAAATGAGGAAAATGAGCCAAAGAGCTAGTCATTAGCCAAGCCAGGATTCCAACCCAGGTCTTTCTGACTAGGCCCATGCTCTTAACCACTGTACTCCGTGGAGCTGTTTTGTGGTTTACCATTGTGTCTGTAGGACCTGAGTGTACTGATAGGCATTTAGTAGACATTCGATCCATATTAGTTTAATGAATGAATGGTAAAACCAATACAAGGAAATAAAGACTTGAAGGTGGGGTTTGGAGTGTAAATTAATTCATCATCATAGCAGTTTTACTGAGAGGAAGGCCTTAGTAGGTTGATGACTTTTTAAAACTCAGAAAAGAAACAGAAGCAATGGAGATACGGGCTAGGAAAATGACTGTTAGAAGAAGGATGACAATATGTATGAAAAGATCCACACGGTAAGAGGTGTTCATTTGATATCAGATTTATTGTTACCCCAAACGACTGATTTTCATTGCAAAAAACACATCACTTTCCTACTTTTAACACCTTATGAATCTGGTATTTATTACTAAAATCCCCAAAGAAAAGGTTAATGATTTACATTGAAAGTGTGAAACCTGTTTCTAGTTGGTATCTCTACGTGGAATATTGGCCACAGAGAAGAGTTTTCCTTCAGTGCTGCTTCCACTTTGAGCTGTAGTTATTCAGATTCGGTAGGTGGCATTTTTTGAGATGACTTTGTAGAATTAAAGAAAAAAATATTTGTTAACCTGGGAACAATCTGCCCACAGATAAATCTATTTTTTATAGAATAGTCAATTTACTTTTAGCCTGAATTCAGTTAGTTAGCATTTTACATGGGAATTGTTTTACAAAATTGATTTATGCTATCTGCTTTCTAACAAAGCACATAAACCCTAAACATGAGGCTGTGTTCATCCAGGAACATTTCACACTGCTGAGGCTGAAGCCGATCCTCAGAACATGACTCAGGTATATGCGTTGCCTGAAATTCCTCGAGATCAAAATGCTGCAGAATCATGGGAAACCTTAGAAGCGGTATGTTAAAAATTATTTTCGTTTTGGTAGCTGAGAGGCATAAAAGTAAGTAACTTCCTTTTCTTCTCTCTCTTTTTAAGGACTTAATTGAACTTAGCCAACTGGTCACTGATTTCTCTCTCCTAGTGAATGTAAGTATTATAATTGTTTTTGGCTCAGAGATGTTAGATTAATAGGATAAGAAGCTTTTATTAATTCCTATGCTTTTGATTAGAATTTTAATAGAAGTTACAATTTTTAAGACGTATTGAGCCATGGATAGAAGTCTTAACAGTCCTCAGCCTCCAGATCAATTTAGTAAACATTTATCAAGCATTTGTTATATAAAAGGGACTGTGTTAAACCTTGGCACCAGGGGTCTGACAAGGTTAGCTATAGAAATAAATGAGGCCTATTCTCTGCCTTTAAGGATTTATAGTGGGTGGAGGTAAGTTTGGACCCCTAAAACTGAAATTTCAAGCATGATTATTAAATGCAAAAATGAGGTATGAAGGGAAGTATTATCAGCTCTAACAGAAGCATTTAATTCCAAGGGAGGGAGGCAGGGATTGTGAGGTGGAAGCATTAAGAATAGCTTCATGAGATAGGTAGCATTTGCTTGAGCCTTGAAAACTGAGTCAAATGTCCACAGATGGGAGTGGGGAAGGGTGCATTTGAAAATAGCTGAACAAAGACATGGAGTAGAGAAGTGTATGGCCTTTCAGGAATGACAAGTATTACAGTATAACCAAAGCATGAGATACTATGGGCAAGCAAAGTAAGGAGTGTGAGTGCCTGATTCAGATGGAATTGAGGGCCATACCAAAGAATTTGAATTTTAATTTGTAGGCATTGAGGAGCCGATATAGATTTTTGAGCAGGTTAGAGTGATATGATCCAGTCTGGTTGAGAAAGATTACTGTTAGTGTGAATAATGGCTTGGGGAAGAGAGAGATAATAGGCAGGATGACTAGTTAGGAATCAAGCAAGAGTTTCACCAATAGCAATGGCAATACAAGTATAAAGGTACAGGACAGCTGAGAGGTATTTCTGGGGTAGACTTAGTAGAAATTGGAGGAAGATGGAAGAGTCAAACATTAAGGTTTTATTCTGCATAATTGGGTAGCCAGTCTCATATTGTTAACATAGATGAGGAAACATAAAGTAGATTTAGTGGGAAAGACAGAATAGGTTTTCTGTCATTGTTTTTCTAAATTATTCTTAGTTTCCTTCCCAGGAAGTATAGGAAGTTTGGATATATACGTGTATCTGTATGCACATACAGGAACAAACCTGTGTCTGCTCATGCTTCTGTCTAGGTTTAGTTCTTTGTTCTTGATCAAACCATGATCTGGGGGTTTTACATCTTTGAATTGTGGTTTCCCTGACATCTGGCTTTCAAGTATAAGAAGTCCCTGGATTATACAATCTCAGAACTGGAATTGGACAGGACTTAATGAGGCCAGCGAATCTAATTCTTCTGTTCTTGCCCCAGCTTGTCATATAGATGGTTTTTTGCCTCTTTGTGAAAATTACAGTGCAGGGATACTTTATACTTCAGCCATTCCATTTGGAGACTCTGCCTCTTAGAAGTTCTTCCTTATATAAACACTGCCCTATAATAACTTCCCTCTGGTACTTTTGCCCTCTTGGAGCCATATGCTGAACAAGTTTTGTCATATTTCCATATAAAATTTTTCAATTTTTTGAGACCATTATCCTTCCTCACCCTATCCAACCTCATCATATTTTTTTCTTTTAAGGACTCTTAATTCTTTATGTTCCTTCTAGAATATGATTTCTAGGCTTTTCAATGCTAGTCCCTTCATCTGTTTATTTTCTAGTTTTTGTATTTTTTCTTGAAATCTAATGCCTAAAATTGAACATCAGTAAATGTTTAAAGCATTTTCCTTAGAAGCAAAATGCTTGAAGTTTCTGGATTAGGTGTCTGTATAATCTATCAATATACTTGCATCTAAAAGGGAATGATAGAAGAATCCTGAAATATATGTTGTTTCAGAATCGAGATTTATTCAGTTATTCTAACTCTCTGATGTAATGTAGTTTGTAAAATCTGTACATGTATGGTATATACAAATACATACATTTGTCAAAAGTCATTGATATCTACACATTAAAATGTATGAGTTATAATGTATGTAAATTATACCTCAATAATAGTTGATTTAAGAAACAAACTAAACATGTACAGAGTTCTTCTCATTCCAGACAAATACATTTCCCTTCCAGTGGGATGAGCACATGAAAGGAAAATTGAGGGCTTGTGGCCATTTAATAATTATATATCCGATTAGATTACGTAAGCAGCTCCTAACCCCTAATCTAAGGAAGATTTGTGTAGGAAGGCTTTGGCTATGGCCATAGTTCTATACAAATGTCTTATTTATAATAATCTGTGTGAGGACATGGAACAGAATGTATTAGGCAAAAGCTCAAAGGAGAACCACTGATTACTATTCCCGGGGTGATTGAGTTCTCATGACCACATGGTCAGGACTCACAGAAGCTCCATTTAGGCACCAAATGACTTGGGAACATAAGCAGAGTAACCACATCCTCTCATTATCATCACATGGACATGATAGTATCTAGACAAATTAACCATGTATTTTTGGAGAACTTTCTGTGTGCATAGGACTGTGCTAATAAGTTCAGTGAAGAATAGAGAACAGTTTAAAAAAAAAAAACCTGTAGGATAGTCTTGATAATTGCCTAACATTGTGAATGTACTTAATGCTACTAAATTGCACACTAAAAATGGTTAAAATTGTAAGTTTTATATTATGTATTTTTTACCATAATGAAAAATGAACCTACAAAGCCATCGAGAGATCCAGGTGCGGTCCAATAATAATATCTAAGCGTCCTGCTTCAGTTTTCTTCAACCTTTATTGCTCGAGTGCCCTCTTCTCTTCCTGTACTTATGGAACTAACCCTATTTCTTGTCAAGGGGAATTTAAAGAACTCTGGACCTGTCACTCAGTGGCATGTCACCCTTGCTGCTGGTCCAATTTTGCCTCTACCTTCTACCTTATTCCCTAGGCATAAAAACTGGGTTGTAGTGGATTAGATCAGATCAGATCAATTGGATTTATTACCCACTTGACCTTAAGGATGTTGTTTGACAGCAATGAACTTTGTAAAATCGATGGGAGTACTAAATGAGATAATGTCTGTTACTTCCCATCCCCTTTCCTTCTTCCACTGACTCCAACTGCATTCCTGTCTTTGTCCCTCCCTTACAGGATTCCCTCTTTGGCTCCTTGCTTAGAGTTCTACCACTGTTACTTTTAGACTTGTACTAGTACTATAGTCCCTACAGTCCCCTCCTATTGCTGAATCCTGTGATATCAACATCCTACTTACCTACTCTGTTTATTGCCTACTCTAGGCCAGTATCATCCTGGACTCTATATATAGTAGTGTTTATATGTTTCTGGGCTTTTCTGTATGTATTATTTATTGCCTATGATTAAGAATTATAGATTAGGTACTTTTGGACTTCAGAACCAGGATAGCCCAGTGTTAACCTGGATTGGCCAAGATCTAAGACTAGAGCTAGCCTTGAAAAATGGCTGTAATTGAGAGTCAGGAATAAAGGAAAATAACCACTTTTGGCAATAGCTTCTTAAAGAAACCTGTAGCTTTTAGCACATTAGTAAAACTATACAACTACTAGCAGGACTCCCCAAGGGAGAGCGTTTTTATTGATGTAAATAGATTTGGGGATGGATTTGTTGAAAGTATTACTGTTGCTTGATATAGAGGATGCTGGGTATACAAGTCTCCACAACAAGCATTCAAGGGAAAAACAGTTCATTAGTTTTGACTTAAATGCCCAAATTGCATTCTGCTTGACCAACATTAACTCAATAAATGACATTTTTTTCCCAGAATCTTAGATGCTTCTATAACTGCTTATTAAGATTCAGTTATTTTTTCAGAAAGAATATTAAGGGGACCTAATTCACTGTTTTTTAAAATGAAATCCATAGACATATTCTTAGAGTCTTTTGAGAATTCTTTTTTCTTTTACTAAGGTACTAAGGGAAGAGTATATTACTTTAGAGAAACACTAGTATCTTTCATATATGGTTTAACTCCCTGTTAAAGGGGTGCTGAGAACATATATGAGGGGCCAAAGTCTAAAATGTCAAAAAGGGAGTTTGAAGATTATCAAGTGTGGGAGGCCCAGGCAGATGAAAGCAAACATAAGCAAATCAGAAGCAAAAAAGGGAGGTTGGTAGGTATAGGAAAATTATTTGGGGCCTGAGAGAAAGGAGACTATTGGCTATTTTCCCTCTACCCCTCAGCTCATCAAGATGTGGAGGTTGGTGATCACACCTGTGATTTATCTGTGAATATAGACTTTCAGGCAAGAGTGGAAAGTGTTAGGGATGTCCCAAATAGAAACAGTGATAGAAATTCAGTGTGAGAAATCCCAACAGGTTGGATGTTACTTGTGTTGGCACTTAATGCTTCTGTGGGTTGGAAGAAGAAAGCTAACATTAAAAAAGTTTATTGTCTGAGGAAAATAAAAAGTGAATGAATGAATGGCTGAAAGAGATCTAATGCCAAGAATTTTCAAGCCTCATTGGAAAACGTTTAGTACACTTTTTAGAAAAGAAAGATTTTGAGAAGATCAGGATGACTTCTCCTCACATTCTACAGACCGTATCTCATTTTATCCTCACTTCAACTCTATGAGGTATATCATCATCCTCACTTGAGAGATGAGAGTATTGACACCTGGAGAGCTTGAGTAATTTGTCCAAGGGCACACAGTGCTGGGATTTGAACACAGGACATCTGGCCAAGAAGGTTATGCCCTTAATCCAGTTGTGTACATATATTAGTGGTTTTTAAAGTGTGAGGATCATGGTCTTGCAGCATCACCTGGGAACTCATAAGACATGCAAATTCTCAGGCTTCACCTGAAGTTCTATGGAATCAGAAACTCTGGAGGTGGGACCCAGCAGTCTGTGCTTTAATAAGTCTTCTGGGCGATTCTGGTGCACACTCACATGTGAGAATCACTGTTGTCTTGGACAGAAATGTTAAAAGGAAAACTGATAAAGGACTTTTTTAGGGGTTGTGTTAGAGATGTCAAGATAGCAGTGGAGAATACAGGAATGAAGGGATACCATGAAAGGTTTACCAGGGAAAAGGTACATACTTGGTGTATGAGAAGGGAAGGAATGTCAATAATGCTTAAGGAAGCAACTGTGGGGAAAAAATTAGCTATGTTGTGTTTCATGTTCTTGAATGATGGTTGGAGTTAGAAGAGTGTTATATCTGATTCAGTGTAAGTTAAGAGGGCAATCAGATGCTTCAGGATTCAAGTTGAATTATTTCACAGTCATTGTAGAAGTGGGATTTAGCTGGAATCAAAGAGGGATTCTTTCCTTTTTTCTGTGAATTAAAAAAAAAAAAGAAAAACCTAGGGGCACCTGGGTGGCTCAGTCGGTTAAGTGTCCAACTCTGGGTTTTGGCTCAGATCGTGATCTCAGGATCATGGAATCGAGCCCCATGTTGGGCTCTGCACTCAGCATGGAGTCTGTTTAAGACTCTCTCCTTCCTCTCCCTCTCCCCCTCCCCACCACATGCACATGCACTCTCTCTTTTTCTCTCTCTCTCTAAAATAAATAAATGAATCTTTAAAAACAAACAAAAAAAACCCTAGTCTGTATATTGATGTGATGGGGTTACTTGAGTTTTATACATTTGTCAGAATTCATCATTCTATACCTTTAAAATGGGTGCATATTATTGTATGTAAATTCTGTCTAAATTTTATTTAAAATGGGAATGTGTTCCTGTGGCAAGTAATGAGTTCCCATCATTGGAGGTGTTTGAGCTGAGGCTCAGTAACCACTAGTGAGAGATGTAGTGGGGCTTCACACTTCTGAGGGGAAGGTCATTCCTTCTACCCAGAGGTTCCATGAGTCACAGGTTCTGTTGTGTCAGCGCAGGTGTTGCCGTTTTTTGTAGAATGCTTTATTAATATCTTTGATCTGAAACATTTTAACTTGTAATGATTTTTAAATATATTAAAGTGTACAGGTGTGAAACTCAGGACAGTAAATGCATTCACTGCTCCCTACCGCATATCACAAGTGAAGTTTTCATGACCAAACCAAATTGTATTCTCATTTTTAAAATGTAATCATTTATATTTATGGATCCAAGGGCATTTTACTCCTACGGCAAATTTACATGTTTTAAATCTTTGAATCTTCAAAGATAAGTTAAAGAGGTTTTTGGTTTTTTTTTAAAGATTTTATTTATTTGACAGAGAGCAAGAGAGAGAACACAAGCAGGGGGAGTGGGAGAGGGAGAAGCAGGCTTCCCGCTGAGCAGGGAGCCCGATGTGGGGCTCGATCCCAGGACCCTGGGATCATGACCTGAGCCGAAGGCAGACGCTTAACGACTGAGCCACCCAGGCACCCCAGTTAAAGAGGTTTTTATGTTTGATTTTGTTTTTGTTTTTTATCATCAACGTCACCATGACATGTAAATGCTTATTTGGATTTTTCTTCTCTTACAAAGTAGATTCATTTGGAGAATAATATATTTGTATGTTTGAATGGATTTTAGTGTGAGATGCTTTTTCCTATAAAGGTGCCACCCTTTTATTATCTAATAATTAAGTCACTCTTTTTTTCTTTATACAAGTGAATTTGTACTTTTGGCATAGTTTATCAGACGCTATTAATGAACCACTATTCAGACTGCAAGGCTGCAGTACATGGGATCCTGATTACAGGAATTAAAATAGTGTGTATTGGCTGAGTGCTGTTCCCCAGCAGGACCACTCACTCATAATTCCTTTGCATCTAGTCTCAGCAGGAGAAGATTGACAGCATTGAAGACCATGTCAACAGAGCTGCTGTGAATGTTGAAGAGGGAACCAAAAACTTGGGGAAGGTAAGATTCTGCTCCTGCTGACAAATCAATGGTACTCTGGCTCCCAGGAATCTCTAGTATTAACCCAATTGATCTGCTCTCTTTAATGTGGAAGGAACCAGCAATTAAGGAAATAAGGAACAAACGACACATAGTAGTGCAAGAAATCAATGACTGTTGTAATATTCTACTCTAAGATTCATTCTGTTGGGCAAGAAATTTTTTTAGGGAATATACCAAAGCCCTGCTATAAGGCATTTTGGTGTTACCAGGGAATATTTGCAGAGGTTCAGGGAGTGAAGTAGAGAGTGTTGCCAGAATCCAGCAGGGGCAAGAGTGTAAGGGTGTTAAGATATAATCATCTTAACATCTCTTTCCCATAGAATATTGCTTTTAACCCCAGGTATACAGCACAGGATAATCTCTATGCAACATAAAAGCTTTGGGGGTATCTATAGCAGCTGAAACTGTTTAAGTAAGTTTGCTATATAGTTAGTGGATTGATTGTTTTGCAAGTAAAATCAGTTTGTAGTAGTCCACTTGTTGTAGCTCATTTCTCCAAGTTCTGAGATGGGGAGGAGCAATTGTAGTACCTGTGGAATACTCCCCCCACCCCCCAATCTCTAAGGTTAATTATGTACCAAGAGTTAAAGAAGCATTGCCAGGAGTAATGAGAGGAAAATGCACATCACCACAGGCAGATATTCTCAACTCAATTTCTAAATTGAATTTTTTTTTTTTTTTTTTTAACAGGCTGCAAAATACAAGCTGGCAGCTCTGCCTGTGGCAGGTGCACTCATCGGAGGAGTGGTGGGGGGTCCGATTGGCCTCCTCGCAGGCTTCAAAGTGGCAGGAATTGCAGCTGCACTTGGTGGTGGGGTGTTGGGCTTCACAGGTGGAAAATTGATACAAAGAAAGAAGCAGAAAATGATGGAGAAGTTCACTTCCAGCTGTCCAGATCTTCCCAGCCAAACTGACAAAAAATGCAGTTAAAAACCAAACTTCAGTGTTATTGGCACCAATATGTCTATCCTAACGAGGACCTTTGCTACTGTTGGACACTCAGTCAGCTTTTGGAACATGATTATATCAAGATAGTGGCTGTAGATGCTCAAATGGGATTGAACTGTGATAAGTAGATATATCTTTTTGTTTGCTGGAGTGTTAGTGGAGATGTTAGAGATTGAGGAGCCTGGGCTGAGGGTGTGTAATGTTGTCAGGTAAAGTTTAAAGACTGCCAAGGAGCAGATTTTTTTGCCTGGAAATGTGAAAAATGAATTTATAACTTTGATAAGGACTTGAGATGTATGGACATGATGGATTATAGAAGACTAGTCTATTCCATAACCCTGACTTGGAGACCCTAAGGCTAAGTATATTCTAAATATGCTTATTTATCTCCTAAATATAGGAGGTTATTTAGGCCTGTTAACAAAGAAAAGAATGGGGAGTTCTGGAGCCTTTCTTATCAAATAAGGAAATCAGGATCTAGTAAGGGGCGCAGGTGAACTACACATAATGGAGTCCATTTGGTGAACCTTATTATACAGTTTGGTCCATCTGTATTTTCTGGTGAACGACACTAATAGTGTAAGAAAATGGAAAGAGAGGTGCAACTTCTCTTTGAGATACCTTTATTTGTGACACTGGCTTCTTCTCTGAACTCTTCCTTCTGTCTCTTTAAATAAAGAACACAGAATCTCAAGTGATAGGGGACTATTAAGCCAGTCACTAAGCTTGGTCTGTCAGCCTGTCTCTTAACACCTCAAAGATCTAGTGCCCTCTGCCTTCCCTGCCTTGTAATTCTGCAAAGTTCTTTGACTTGTGGGGTGAATTCTACCCATGTGTAATGAGGACTTTTCTCATAATCTGTTTCCTTGTATTGTCTCCCATCTCTGTTCATCCTTTCCTGTAACTTCTAGGTTAAAGAGAGAAAGGAAGAGAAAGCTCCAAATATTTCCAACATTATTAGAGTGTGAGGTAAAAAATAAAAGACAGGGACACCAGATCATTTCTTGGGGCATCTTAAAATTTCAAGAGACTGATGTATGGGCCACACAGGGAATCTCTGACCCTAAGTCTTTTCAGCTGGCCCTTTGGGGAGCTAAGAACTAGCTTTCTACCTCACTTCTGTTACTACCATCCTTTCCCCAGGCTTTGCTGTCTCTGTGCTTTGCTTTACTTTTCACAGCTGTTACTTCTTCCTAAGAAACATTCTTGCTCGTCTTTTCTCACATTGAAGATGATAGACAAAGCCTGGTGCCAAGACTGATCCTGATGAAGGATTTGTGGTGCTAACCCCAACACTTGACATTGATAGCAAGCATGGCCCAGCCCAATCCAGTGTCTATCTCAAATAGCCAAAACAGGTAGCCTCATCCTGTACCCCCAGTTCATTTGAAATAGGAAGGAGCCACCTTTTGCCTTAATCTTTACCGTTTTCTGAGAGCAGAGAAATAGGCACCTTTACCACAAAATGTGTGAGCTCAGGAGCCAAACAGATTTCTCAGGTCGTTGAATGGTTTATCACTTCTCTCTCATTGAGTTTACTCTTAATTTTTATTGTTTGCTTGCTACCTTTTACTTCTTTGTCTAATATAGACAGACCTTTCTCTCACACTTTTTTGACTCTCACCAATGAAATCTGATGAAGAGAAAGCACCATTTCTTACTGGCATTAAATAACTGGAAAATATCAAGTATTGCTGTCTGCTGACTTGTATCTTCAGTGTGATGCCAAAAAGGAAGTGCTTTGAATAAGTGTCAGATTCTGATGCAGTATTTGATATTGGTTACCTGTAAGGTTAGGATAATTATTTTGGAACTCCACCTTTTTAAATATTTTCTGATCTTTGCTGTCCTTTAACACAGGGTATTCAAACCAGAGCGAGGACTCATCCAGGGTGCTTATTTAAAACAAGATTGCTAAACTTCAGTCCCCTAGGTAACTCTGACAGTGGGCAGCCAATCTGGCCTGGTCAGCTAAAATTATAAATTTAAGGTATAGTTACATCAAGATTCAGCTGTATCAATGAATTCTGTAATTTCCAAGTATTCTCACCTTCAGCGTGGCCCAGGCTTCATTGCTCCATATCATTCCCACTCTGCCAACCCACAATTGGCTACACTTTTTAGCCCACCATCTTTTTTTTTTTTAAAGGTTGATTTATTTATTTTAGAAAGCGAGAAAGACAGCATGAGCGGGAGGGGCAGAGGGAGTCTTAAGCAGACTCCACACTGAGCGTAGAGCCTGTTGTGGGGGCTGTCTCACAACCCTGAGTCGTGAGACCAAGAGTCGGACGCTTAACCGACTGTGCCACCCAGGTGCCCCTTACCCTTAGCCCACCATCATAATGGCACTAGGGACTCATTACCCTGTCAGGCTAGTTTTACACAGAAACTGGAGGAGAGAGGAGGCCTATTGTAATTGAAGCTTACATTTTGTTTGAGGATCTTGCATTTTTCATCATCCAGTTTGGGATACCACTGTATGTGCCCATATAGGAGTTTGATTTTTACTGCTCATCAGGATTGGAATATTACTGCAGCAGTCTTCATGCTCAGGCAAATTGCAGTCCTTTTAAAAAATTTTAATTTAAAATCACTTAGAAATTGTATCTAATTTCCCCATAATAGAATCTAATAGCTAACTTTTTATAGAAATTTCTAGAAGTGTTTAATCAACTATAAATTATATACCTATAAACTGTAAAGTGTTTAGAAATATGAATTAGTTAATATGACACAGAAACCAATCTTAAACTGAATTTAATGCCCTAGGGTATCAGATTAAATTTATCTTCTCTGTGATTCATGTCTTATTTTTACTAGATTGAAGTTAGAAGATAAGGGTCACTTTAAGTTCTTAAAATTTACAGAGGTACAAACTTCCAGTTATTAAATCACAGGGGTGAAAAGTACAGAATAGAGGGGGGAAATGTAGAGGTTCATTTGAATAAAGTCAGTGCTTCTAAAGACCTCTTTTGTTTTTCTAAACTCTTTCTGATACAGTAATCTGAGAATTTCTCTGTAGAGCAGAGACTTTGAAACTTTGTGGTTGTAACCCACAGTAAAAAAAATGCATTTATATCAAAACTCAGAATATGTATAATGGCGAATACCATTATGTGTAGTGTACTCTGATGTTTTTTATTTCAGTTTTTAAAATACTGCTCGTTGCAACCTACCAAATTGATTTCATAATCTACCAATGGGTTGTGACCCTTAGTTTGAAAAGAAGATAACACCGTATGGAGGAACTGATATCTATTGAATATCTTCTGTTTTCCAGGCACTTCGCTAGGCATTTTACAGGTAAGGAAACTGAGTCTCAGAGAAGTTAAGTGACTTGCAGAGGGTTATTCAGCTGTAAAAGGTTGAACCAGAGGGATGTTAACTAGGTCTCTTGAACTACAAAAATTTGTTACTCTCATACCATGCTGCTTCTGTATATAAAATTAAGGTAGGCCATTCATCCTGTTTCACCGAAATACTGATATATTCCATAAGGCAGGCTTGCTGTGAAATTACATGTGCTATTCATTTGCAGTTTTTTGTTTTTTTTTTTAATCTTTTGTCATGAAGTGTCCTGCAGCCTCAAAGTTTTTAATAGTGGTTGATGTAGAAGTACCTAATTTGGTTACTTTGCTGAATTTGGTCCTTAGACTGTAAAATTAAAAATGTTTCCATCCCACCTATACATCCCTACAAATTTCCTCGTATTCTGTGGGTTATAGCCATCTCTTCAGCAGTCCTTTTTTGTATTAAAAATGAAACCAGTTTTTTTAATCTGTCCTAACTCATAGAATCAAATGATTACTGTCTTTTAAAATCATACTCTTGGGAAGCCACGTACTTACTGTAGGGACTTTAGTATTACTTAGAACATTTTTGAAACTTTTCTTTTGGAATTGCCTCCAAAGACATTTTGCAAACCACATAGAAGAGGCATCTCAGTGTTTATTAGTCACGGATTACACTCCCTTGTCCTTATGACCTCTCCTCTCATCCATTCTCAGTTTTGCTTTTCTTCTGTTGGCTTAGCTCTCCTACCCACCTACGCTGGAGCCAATAACCTAAGGGTGCCCAGACAGGGGGTATGCTGGCCAGAGTGTCTGGAGCAAGAACTTATAGTTTATAGTGAAGCTGAATGCTATAAAGGGAGGATCCTACAAGTCCAAAAACCTTTCTCTGTGGGCTGCCTGTAAGTGTTGTAAGTAGTTTGCACAGGACTAAGGACTGAATACTGGTAATATCAATCACAGGAAGGTGAGGAAGCCTAAAATGTAAGTATGTAATGTACAGCATTTCTCTGCAGTGAAGAACAGAAACCAAACCAAGCCATGCTTTGTGTTAACTTAAAACTGAAGGGTGTTTCTCAGGGTCTCCTTTGCCCTTTGTTGCTGCCACATAAAAGCTGGGAGGAAGGATGATGAAAAGCCTGGGGAAAAGGCTCTCCTGTGAAATGGACATGTTGTTCTTTTGTATTAAAGTACAATGTGGCTTTCGCTCTCAGGTACTTATGTTAGACCATGTTCCTAAGGAGTCATAGGACTAATAAAAGGCAGGAAAGCTTCCCTGGGAGCCTAAATTAATGTAAACAGTTCAGGTTCTGTTTGTGTTTTTAACAACATTTTGTTTCTAACAGGTGGTTCTTGCTATTTATATTCATTAATTTGACACCGTTTTACAGAGGAACTTCTTGGGTATTATAAACAATCAATGGCAAAAGATGAATATTATCCACATCACCAGTCTCAAAGAAATTTGTTTTTGGAGATAAGTATATTTGTGCAAATTTAACAAAAGAAATAAACTGAATAAAAATTATTTGCCCAAGATCAAAGCTAGTTGGCACAACAGCTAGAATTATACCAAGGTCTAAGAAAAAAAAAAATACCCTCGAAGTAATTTAACTAAGGTTTTGTTACGCCATATCAAGTTGCATGCTGAGGCTTATGGTCTTTCAGACCAGCTTAAATTCCAGATGAGGCAATAGCTATAGTGAAAAGAAAATTGGATGGGGGATCAGGAGATCAGAGTGCTAATTTTGGCTCTGTCTCACACCTCTCTCCCATGGTAAGCTTTTTCTCAGTGGTGGCTGCCTTCTCCTATTCCAGCCAGGGATTTGCCAACCATAAACCTCAGTGGTTAGCAACTTGACACTCTTTATTCTTCATATCTAGCCTCTTATTGGGTCCTGTCAATTCTACTTTGAATGTTAGTTCCATCTATTTATAAATATATGCATGGTCATCACTCTAGTAAAAAACTCTTACCTCACACCCCCCACCTCATTTCCCCCAACTTTAAGCCATTCCTCACATCAGTGCCGCAAGAATGAGAACTAGGTCCCTCTTCCATTATTCTGCTGAAATATTTCCAGTGGCTCCCACTGAATACTCGATAAAGTTCAAATCCCTTGGGTTGGCATTCACAGCTTTCCATATTCTGGCCCCAGCTTTCTCTCTTCAAACTCAACTACTCACCATCTGAAAATGCCACTGAGAATCAGACATTCCATAAAAATGATTTTAAGGTTTTTCTATGGTGAAGTTAGGAACTGGTAATAAACTGTTTACATTTGTCTAGATGAAAATTCT